TTGCTTTGGATTCATAGCGAAGCTTATCAAAGGCTGAAAGCAGTCATTCTACTCACAGCCCTGGGCTCGGCAGTCACTTTGAGTATGGTACTCTCTTCTGCCCCTCCCACACAACATTACCCCTGACTCCTCACCCCTTCAGGTGCCCTCACTCATGACCAGGCCTGGCAGGATTAGCTTCTCTGCTGTGGGAGGGACATCAAGGCAATGGAAGTGGGGTTGCCAATTACCTCTGCTGAAAAGTCCTCTGATTGAGACACTGGGCTCAACCTGCCTTCCTGCCAACTGCTGATGGCAGCAGTGGTCCATCTGGGGCAGCTGCTGTGAGGACACCAGCTGCAGTGGGGAAGCCATGGCTGGGACTGTGTGCTCTGTAGAGCTGGCAGGGGCCAGAAACAGGTGATCCAAGCATGAGCCCTGTGCCCTACTAAGTTGGCAGGATGTGAGCCTGTTCTCTCAGGCACAGCTGCAGCTGCCCATCCGTGGCTCTGGACCTGGGCATCCCTGCACTCTCAGGGACCTGGGAAGCCTCCTACCCCTGCAGGATCCTTAGAGTGCCTACTCCCACACCCTGGCTTCTCCTGTCTCCTGGTGCCCACTCCAGTGCAAAGTTATGGGGGAGCCAGCCCCCTGCTGCCTCAGCCCTCTGCTGCCTCAGCCCTCTCTGGACTTTGGGGGCTCATGAGTGTGGGAGGGAGGATGGGGGTGCTCAGGGCAGCTGAATGCAGGCCTGTGGGCGCCCCTCAGTGTGGACAGCCTGGGTGGCATGGAAGGCATGTTGAAGGCAGTGGGAGGCAGATAGGTTCCTAGGCAGGAAGTTGCAGGTCCCTGGTGAAACCCCACCTTCAAGCCAGGGATGGCCTGAATCCTGGGGGCCAGGCTGTCTGTTCCAAGTGGAGTCTACAACCTAGAGTGAGAACTTCATTGATGCCTTTTGGCCAATCAGATGGTGCTTTTTCCAGGCCTGCCTCAGGCTGCCTATGGACCAGTCAGCATGCACTTCCTCCCTCTGAGCTCATAAAAACCCCAGACTCAGCCAGACTAACACACTTGTCTAGACTATGCCTGTGGAAAGGAGCTACCCTAAGGATCCTGTGACACTGTGACCTCCCTCCCCCTGAGAGACTGGTGAGGACTGGACAGGTTCATTATGGTGATGTCAGAGCAACCCCTCACCCTTTTCTCATTTCCACACTGTGGCAGGCTCCCTGCCAATCTCAGTAGTTTGCCCCACTTGTATCTCTGGGTTTTTGCAGAGCTCTATATCCAGTCAGTTCCTCAACCTGAGCAATTCTTCCCTCACCGCACCCTCCCCCCAACCCCTTCCTTTCCCTTCTTGCTGCCATCATCGCAGAGTCTGAGACTTACACAATCACGATATCCTCTGAACTACCTCTGGTGTTTCCTCCTCCCTTCCATCCTCCATAGGGCCAGAGCATCTGTGCCTTCCATACTCCCAAGGTTTGCCATTGTCCATAAACACATACCACTTGTCTTGTCATTCAAGGCTCTTCCCTGCCCAGACAAGCTCCATTCATTCTGCCTTCTTTTTTTTGAGACAGAGTCTTGCTCTGCCACCCAGGCTGGAGTGCAGTGGCATGGTCTCAGCTCACTGCAACCTCCACTTCCAGGGTTTAAGTGGTTCTCCACGCATGCTCCACCATGCCTGGCTAACTTTTGCATTTTTAGTAGAGATGAGGTTTCACCATGCTACCCAGGCTGGTCCCAAACTCTTGGCCTCAAGTGATCCTCCCACCTCAGTCTCCCAAAGTGTTGAGATTACAGACACGAGCCACTGTGCCTGGCCCATTCTCCCTTCATGTGTCCTTTCCTCCTGCTCACAACCTCCATCTTTACACAAATCAAAATCCCACCCATCTACGAAGCCTTCCCAGGCTCGCTTAGCCCTGGTTCCTCACTTCCTATAATTCGTGCAGTGCATCAATTGTGATTCATTACATGCATGCTTCCTCATGCACTTCTGAGCTGCTGAAGGAGCTCTGCTACCCAAACCACACTGGCTCATAACTGTGTCCAGCTCACTTTTGTGCCCAGAGCCATCAGCTACTTCATAATTACCATGGACACTTTTCTGCTCTTTCCACGTGAATTGCTTTGATTTCTATTTGCTTTTTTGGATACCAATAGTTAACACTTACACCCAACTCACTAAGTGCCTGAGAGAACGTCGCCCCCTCCTTTCTCAGTCAAGTGTCCTTGCTGGCACATGATCTGCGGTCTGTCCCACTGTCTACTCACGCCTCGCCTGCATCCCCGTTAATACAATTCTTGGCTTATTCTTGTTTAGTGGGAAGGAAGCTTGTTCACTAGCTTCAAGTACACTGCTCCTTCACACTTTAAAAAAATGTCTAAAAGCACTTAAAAGTCCCTCTTTTGAGGCGGGGTGTGGTGGCTCACACCTGTAATCCCAACACTTTGGGAGGCTGAGGTGGGCACCTGAGGTCGGGAGTTTGAGCCCAGCCTGACCAACATCAAGAAACCCCGTCTCTACTAAAAATACAGAATTAGCCAGGTATGATGGCAGATGCCTGTAATCTCAGCTACCTGGAGGCTGAGGCAGGAGAATCACTTGGATCCAGCAGGTGGAGGTTGCAATGAGCCAAGATCATGCCATTGCACTCTAGCCTGGGCAATAAGAGCGAAACTCCATTTCAAAAAAGAAAAGTCTCTCTTTTTAGAGGCTTGATCTGTTTTAAACATAAGGACTGGACACTGGCATGGCCACAGCTCTAGCCTGTCTTGGATGGGGACCGGGGTGGGGGGACTGATGGAACATGTCAAGTGGTTACTCATCCTCAGCTGCTCCCAAGCAGGACGGCATATGATAAGGCTCATTTTAGCTCCGACAGGCCTGTTCCTATGACATATGATTGTTTCAACACTGCCCCTTGTTTAAGATAAAAACCCCTTGACATTTTTTAACATTCTAGAATATTTTGGAGAGGAATGAGGAGAAAACCAAGGCCAGGGGTAAAGAAGTCTCAATTCAAGTGGTAGAAAAAGGTAAGGGTGGTTATTGTCAGATGTGGCTAAAAGGCAGGGAGGACCCTGGCTCTGCAGAATCATGCAGATGAGTCAAAGGAGCAGCTCGGAGGCAAAGCTGCAACTTAGAGAACGGGTCTCAACCAGCCAGAACTCACAGTGAATCCTTCAAGGTGACTGGAGCCAACTGGTTCCCTGAGACACCCTACCCTTGGGACAGCCTAAGGTTTAAGACTACAGATGGGTATTATTAGAAAATGGGGCCACACCGGAACATGGGGGAGAATCTCTCATTCCATGGACTTCACATTCCAGGAGATACCAAATAGCCCAGTGGGAGGGGTGGGGTTTGCAATGCAATGGAATCTGTTAATACATTGGCTCATTTTTCTCTAGAAATATTCTGTCTGCCCTAGCGGGTAGCTCAGATGCTGGCAGAACTCACCTCCTCAGCTATCTCAGGAAAAAAAAAAAAATCAGTCCTCAGCCCTTTTTCCCATTGTGAGTCATAAGAGAATGTGCTTTCACCCCAGGGTAGTATGTCCCAGCCAGATGGTAAGGTCATTGAGCAAGGGTCCCAGGGAATAGGAGGATCATCGACAGTTACAACTGACTGTGAATCCTCAACAGCCAACAGAGAAGTAATCCGACCCCTTGTTCCAGTTATTCTCAGGGAAAATAGTTGAGGGTTCCCTGCTCTCTTTATCTCTTTTCTAGCTTCTTGTGTACTGGTCATGACATCAGGCAATGGAATGACTAACCATTCTTTGCATCATCCATGGTAGCAGGGATGGCGTCAGCAGTGACCTCTTTGGTGGGCTGAGTGGAATTATAGGGGAACCACTTGCACGCTGATAATTGATCTCACTCCTTGTGAGACTCAGAGTTTGGGGGGCCGTGCTGTCCTCCCAGAGTGCTCTGCCAAGTGTGCTGAAGTTCAACAGATAACTTGTATTTCAAAAAAACAGCTCTGGAGCTCTGCACCCAGAAAACATAAGAGGACCTAATGAGTTATCTTAGATTTTAAGTGTGATTTTCTAAGAGATTTATGTTATACAGTTAAGAAAAAAAAAACTTAGCAAAGGAAAAATATTCAAAAAGTTTCAAAAACTTAGATCCTTAGTAAGTGTGCTTTTCTTAGTTACAAATGTCTAGACTGTACAGTACAATTACGACAATGTTCACAAAGCCCCATGCTGATGGGCTCACTCAAGCTGATGGCTGGATGGCACTGGACTATACGATGCTATAGAAGGAGGGAGGAGGGTCGAATGAGTGATCCTCCTGTGCGGCACATGGGAACTGCTTGGGAGAGGTTGATAATCCCTACCCTCTGGTTTTGAGTAAACAGGTCTGGGTGTGGACCAGAAAGCCATATTTTTTAAGAGCTTTATCGAGCAATTTATTTATTTAGAGTAGGGGTGTTGCTCTGTTGCTCAGGCTGGAGTGCAATGGTGTGATCATGGCTCACTGCAATCTTGAACTCTTGGGCTCAAGCAATGCTTCTGCCTCAGCCTTGCAAAGTGCTGGGATTGCAAGTGCATATTACCCTGCCAAGCTACTTAAAGAGATTTTTTTCTTCTTTTAGAGATGGAGGTCTCACTGTGTTGGCCAGGCTTGTCTTGAACTCCTGGGCTCAAGTGATCCTCATGTGTAGGCCTCTCAAAGTGCTGGGATTATAGGCGTGGGGCCTGGCCATTTATCAAGCAGTTCTACTGATCATCTGACTTAGAAAACAGTAGCCCTGATGGGTGATGATCTGTTCCAAACCCATAGTGATATGGCTCTAGTTGAAACATTTTATTTCAGTGAATCTAGAATTTCCCCTGCATGAATAAATATGCGAATACTCACCTATAATTTGACATTGCAACCAAAAGAATACTCTCTTCTTTTGTGTATTTTTTAAAGGATTGACTTAAGGGTACTAAAATCCACATAATCACCTTACATATGAATTCCAAAAACCCAACCAACTCATCAGTAGGAAAGTTTTCCTTTCCCCGTATAGAATATGGTTAAGGTTTCCTTGGTGAATCAGCTGCAGAATGCTGGCTAAGTCTTAGGCACTGAGCTCAGCGTCCTCAGGAAACTGGCTCTGGAATGGCCACTAAGGCACCAAGAGTAGGAGCTTTCTGTTACCTACCTATACCGTGATAGAACATTTTAAAGTCATTTTTTTAAATTACAGGATATTAAATCATTTCCCTAGATTTCATGTAAATCATAGGCCCAAATCATCTACTTTTAACACCAAAGTTACCAAAAAAAATTACAATAACGTTTTAGTTAAAAAAAAAAAAATCCTTGCAGCTTATGGCTAAAATGAAATCTACAAATCATCTGGATCCTAATGAGGATTAATCATCATCATTCAATAAACACGGCCATGTTGCAAGTGGCGTGCTTTCAGTGTTCTACAGGCATTAACCTATTCGATCTTCATAACAACTCTGTGCTATGTACTACTATCTTTCCCATTTTACAGATGAGGAAATTGGGGGCAAAAATTAAGTTATCCACTCATGCTAATACAAGTCATAACTACAAGTGTTGGAATCTGAATGAACACTAGCAGCTTCAGTGGCCACAGAGAAAGCCTACAGTCAGATTTAAGGTTAGCAAAGCTTTTAAGGTAAATGACAGCATCTATTTAAGAAACAGACTAAACAATTGGTATTTTTTTTTTTAAAAAACTATCATATCACAATCAAAGGATTGATCTTATCTCATTTGCTTTAGCTTTAATTAAAGAATTTTCTAGATGTTTGCCATCTAGAAAATGTTTCTTAGCCTTTTAAAATTATCCTAATTCTCCCAGCTGTTTCTTAACATTCAATGGTATATTATTATTTAGCATATTTTCTCCACCAATTCACAAAGCAAATGCAACACAGCACTGGATCAAATGACAGATTTGATTTCAATTCCGTTGGCAATACCTTCCGTGTTTAATTACTCATTGTGTTAAAAGCTAAGGCTGGTTATTCCTTGCTTGTCACCTGCAGTATAAAAATGGAACTATCTAAAACAAAAACACTTAATTGCTTTCCTTCTGGAGAAGGTTTGAAAGAATCAGAAGTGTCACAAAGCACATTTTCACTAGGGAGTTTGACAGATGAAGAAATCAAACTGGCTTTCAGTTCTGTGTACTTTCAGTCTTTCTGCTCATTCAAGTATGTGTGTTCCATTCATTAATTTCTTCATTTTGCAAATATTTATTGAGCATCTGCTATGTACCAAGCATTGGGCAGTAATGGTTAGAAGTCCCAAATATCAGGCAAAATATCAAATTTAAGTACAAAAATGTTTTCCAAATCCTGTTTAATTTGTTTAGAGATACCTGCCTTTTTGAAATATCCTATTTTGAGAATAATTGAGAGTTCACCATACTTAAATTCCCACACTGACTTCCTCACATTCATTCATCCAAGCAAATTTAAACAGAAGTTGATGCTTTTCCTACACAATTTGCAATGACATCACATGATACCTCATATCTAAATAATATGCTTCTAAAGATGACCACATTTGTTTTCGTTTAAATCTTTATCAATTCAAGTTTATTTCAGCACATAAGTGGGAGGCTTATTAAACCTTTACTATTTGAGAAATTGTATTTTCTCTTTTTTTTCCTCCCGGGTTCATGCGATTCTTGTGCCCCAGCCTCCCAAGTAGCTGGGACTACAGGCGTGTGCCACCATGCCCAGCTAATTTTTTGTATTTTAATAGAGGCAGAGTTTCACTATATTGCCCAGGCTGGTCTTGAACTCCTGAGCTCAGGCAATCCACCCCCTTCAGTTTCCCAAAGCGCTAGGATTATAGGTGTGAGCCACTGCACCCGGCCTGTATTTCCATTTTTAAGACAAAAATGTATAAACTCATTCTATAACACTGAGGTATAGGCAATTATCACATATATAATACATGCAAGTTAGTCCAAAATCAAATAAAATATGCAATAAACTAACATAAAAGACAGATTCCAATAAGTCAAATGTCACACTGAAAACACAGTAATCTGATACTGAAATTTATAGTACTGCACTGATATTTTTTATGTAAAGCATGAAACAGGTTCTGGAATACACCATCTCAAAATATGCCACTCTGGCATAAGGATTATTCTGAGTTGAAGACAACTGAGGAAGGGGAAGTGCGATCCTTTTTTATTTATTTATTTATTTTTGAGATGGAGACTTGCTCTGTCACCCAGGTTGGAGTGCAGTGGTATGATCTCTTCTCACTGCAACCTCTGTCTCCCAGGTTCAAGTGCTTCTCCCACCTCAGCCCCCTAGGTAGCTGGGACTACCAGCAGGCACCACGACACCTGGCTAATTTTTGCATTTTTAGTAGTGACAGGGTTTCGCCATGTTGCCAAGCCAGTCTTGAACTCTTGACCTCAGGTGATCCACTCGCCTCAGCTTCCCAAAGTGCTGGGATTACAGGTGTGAGCCACTGCACCTGGCTGAAGTATAACTCTTAATACTGGCGACAGAGATGAGTCTGAACAAATGAACTCCACTAAAATAACCCTTGTCTTCCCCTAGCTTCGCCATGTATTTCCTAGCAGCTTCCCCACAGTTTATTATCCCCTGAAGCCCAAAACGCCTTTCCTTTATGAAGAAGGGTATATAAGCTCCCAAGTCTGATCTCTTCTTTGAGTATTACTTCTTTTCTGTGAACTTCTGTGCACATAAATTATTAATAACATTTGTATTCTTTTCTGCTGTGAACCTGACTTTTGTTAGTTACATTTGCAGGTCCCTGGTCATTGCACAAGAGAAGCTAAGGAAAGAGTTTTTCCTCCCTGACAAGTATGTGGCAGGTCACGTATTCCTCTTGAAAGCAATAGGTTTTATTTTAAATTTGAAATAACACAGTGGTCAATTCTTTCTCCCGATCCTAAAATGACAGAGTACAGAATAGAGCCAGAGGATACCCAAGCAATGCTATTTCTCTGCCTGGGGCCGGGCCCAACAGAAGCCACACCTCCAGTTCTAGAGTATTCTCTCAGGCACCAAGGTCCTCAATAGGTGTGTGCCTGTGCATACTGCAAAAGCTGTGTGCATAATGTTCTTCATGACGCTGTCTGGCTATTTAAACTCAAGTCAGTTAGAGAAAAAGCACATTCACATTAAGAAATTCTGTCTACTTAATAGGAAAATCCCCATCAAGGATGCAGATATAAACCACTTTTTGGAGATTCCTTGGAAGGATGCTTATGAGGTGACAATGACTCTGAGCCTTCTGTGGACCTTGCAAGATATAGAGTCTATTTATTGCTGGTGGACTCCCAGCTTTCAATAGAGATTATGCTTTTCTCAAATCAGTTTTTCTGTGGTGCTCTATGGAACAAGAGAAATAATAAAGCCGGCCAATGCAGGCCAAATTTGACAGCAAATGGAGATATCTGATTTAAAAGACAAATGCCTGAAAGAATAGTCCACAATCTGGCCAAGACATTAAGAGATTTTCAAGTCAGAAAGTGACAGCCGTCATTACATTATCATGGACCATATGAAAATACTCTGCAGCCTCTCATCCATGATAAACTGATAGTGCGTGCACCGCCGTGTGACGGCGTGCACAGACACTGTTGTAAGGAGCTCACTGACACAGGAAGAGAGCACCGTTCTCCCAGGGAAGCGGGCTAATCCCGTCCTCTTGGGGAGGGACGGTGTTTAATGCATTTGATTTTAGTGAAAGCTCTAGAAAGCGCCAAAAGTCCAACAGCTGTACATAGTTCCCATTAGGAATCCTGACCTCAACTCATAAGTTTTGGGAAAGGAGGATTTATTGTATTGTTTGTCAAATTCAAGTTTTATTTTATGTCCATAAAGCTGTGGAAAGGAAAACACTGTCTTTTTCTGACTGTAACAGGCTGTTTACAGCTCCCTGACAATACAACACTCTGCTGAAGAGAAGAGGCACAGCCTCTGGGGCGTTAGGCGGGATTTTTCTGGATTACTAGTTGCACAAAGCAAAAGTCAAAGACTGTTCGGACCCCAGCCTTCCTAAGCTCTGCTTCTCACACAGACTCGCCATGCCTGGCGCAGCATGGATGCCCTTGACCACCTTCAAAGCCCAAATGCCTTTTTTCGACTCGTGTGATGGCTATCAGGATACGAGGGTCCAAGCAGTCCCCAGAGAATTGCTGGGTCTTTTTGGAAGCAACAGGCTCTGCCCCAAACCCTGGGCTACCTCTTCCCTTTCATGTTACAAATAAACTCTTTCCAAAGACACTTTTTTTTTTTTTTTTTTTTGAGGCAGGGTCTCGCTTTGTCACCCAGGCTGGAATGCAGTGGCACAATCATAGCTCACTGCAGCCTCAAACTCCTGGACTCAAGGGATTCCGGCCCCTCTCAGCCTCCTGAGTAGGTGGGACTACAGGCATAGATCACTGTAAACAGCTAATGTTCAGCAAACATCTTAACACAGAGTGCCAGTGTGGCCAGCAAGTGCTCCACTGCTCCATAAGCAGGGAGGAAGGGGATTTGGGGCTAAAAATGGCAACTCAAGATCCAGGTAGCTTTGTGTAAAGTAGCCCAGTAACAATCAAACCCCTGAATGGAAAGATAATCAAACACAGGACAAACCATGACCATGGCCCGAGGCTCTAGAATTTAAACTGGAAACCGTGAAAATTAACCATCCTCTTTGAATTTCTTAGAGGACTGACAGAAGACAGTATGTGCAAAATTTTTTATTCTCCTTGTCATCCATGTTTACACCTATGAGATACTTTGTTTGCTGAAGAATATACTTTTTAGGAGATTTTCAGTCCCAGAGAAGAAATGTTTTTAAATGGATTGTGACTCACTGTGGATGCCTGTGTGAGGAAAACCAGGGATGTAAAGGTCAGGATTTTGTGCAATTTGTTGGGCTGTCAAACTTTAATGAGTCTTCTGCCAAAATGATTTTGTTCAGTTAAAACTAAAACTAACCAGACGTATGACAAATATTTACGGTCGGGGTCAAGAGTGTTTACTCTTCGGCAGTTAGCTTTGAAAACAAAAGAGCTTTGACCACAGCTCTGGACTGAAGGGAACCACAGCTGAGAGCTCCCTGGAAGCTTAAGAGTCAAACACACAGCCCTGCTTTCCAAAGCCCATCTCTTCCAGGAGTCGGCCATGAATATAGATGATGAGCTTCGTGGCAATGTCTATTTTTAAAGGCCAGCACACACACATACAATATGATATGGTTTCCCTGACAAAGCCAAAACTGCCAAATAATTACCACATTTCTAATTTTACATTTGAGCTAACAAACACCAAAGCAGAAGCTGAGGTTTGATTTTAATTTTTGCTCTACTAAAATTAAACTAGATTGCCATGTACTCATTTTCTCATTACAAACTCCGTTTTAAAAAATACTATGACAAATGCATTTTTAAAAAGATGATTGCAAACTATATTTTTTTAAGTGCAGATTTTTTGGATGTTACTCATACATATGTACACATACACGTATTATACACGTATAAACCAAGATAACAGAAGAAACGATGACAAATTCTAAGAAGAAATAACAGCCTCATTCCATAAGGTATCACGAAGCCTAGAAATCAGAATTCATGTTTCAGATTATAATCATATTTAAATTTTTTTTTTTAGTATTAGCAACATTACAAAAGCCATCAGGACTGTGTAAATGGAGACAAATTATGTATATATTATGTACATTTCAAAAATTATCATTGCACACATTAAAATCAGTCAAACTTACAGATATCCGTGGCCATATTGTGATGTCTTGAAGATGAAAGGGGAGAGACAGAAAGAGAATAAGAGAAAAAGAGAATATAGGAAGAGATGAAAGGGAAAGAGGAGAGGAAAAGAGAAGGAAAAGGGAGGAAAAGAAAAGCAGAAGAAAGGAAAAGAGAGGAAGGGAAAGGAGGAGAGAGTAACAGGAGAGAGGTGGGAGAGGAAGGAGAGGACTCCCCTTATAGTGTCCCTAAATATTCACCCACCCTCTGACAAACCAAATAAGGTCAGGTGGCAACTCGGATAGTCAACTGTGCTGGTTATTTTAAAAACGTTCATTCAGCGCAACAGCTGAGCTGAATTGTTTTTGATATACAGTCACCTTATCCAATTCAACTTGTGTATTCATTTACTCTTGATGCTAGGGTTAAGCAGGGGAAATAAGGTATTAGCCCTGCCTGTTTTTTTATTTTTTTGAGACGGAGTCTTGTCCTGTCGGCCAGGCTGGATGGAGCGCAATGGCGGAATCTCGGCTCACTGCAATCTCCGCCTCCCGGGTTCAAATGATTCTTCTGCCTCAGCCTCCTGAATAGCTGGGATTATAGAAATCCGCCACCACACCAAGCTATTTTTTGTATTTTTAGTAGAGATAAGGTTTCACCATGTTGGCCAGGCTGGTCTCGAATTTCTGACCTCTTGATCTAACCGCCTTGGCTTCCCAAAGTTTTGGTATTACAGGCCTGAGCCATAGCTCTTAGCCTATCCTTGCCATTTTAAATAAAAAAAAATTTTTTGAGATGAGTCTCACTCTTTCACCCAGGCTGGAGTGCAATGGTGTGATCTTGGCTCACTGCAACCTCTGCCTCTTGGGTTCAAGCAATTCTTCTGCCTCAGCCTCCTGGGTAGCTGGGATTACAGGCACGTGCCACCACGCCCGGCTAATTTTTCTTTTGTATTTTCAGTGGAAACGGGGTTTCACCATGTTG